AGAAGACTGGGTGTTCAAGTGTGTGTTTCCCCCTGCCACACACACCTTAAGAGGTAGGCCGTCACCGCCGGTTCAGGGTAGGGCTTTGGAGTAAGGGATGAAGATTCTCCGTTCAAGACATCGAGTTTGAGATTTCAGGTTTCCTGATGTAGCAAGCTTGGTGTAGGCAGTAGGGGCAAGGATTTATGAAACCAGGGGTTTACAGAAAACTTCTTTTCATCAGTGGTTGTGGGATTTCGAGATGACGGCCTTTAGAGCGCTGCTGGAACACTCAACACACCGAACCCCTACAAGGACAAGGCATATCGCCCTCAAGCTCCAAAGCCTAAGCCTTAGACCCCTAAGAATCGTCATGGAGCACTCATAGGACTGTCATAAACCCCTATCCCCCCCAGCCCCCGCCACTCAGCCCCATAAGATCGTAAGAACCGAATCAGGACAAGGCGATGAAGCCCTTCACCGACCGAGCAGTGAGGACGGTCAACGAGGTGAGGACCCTAAACCCCAAACCCTAAACCCTGACCCTAAACCCGAAATCCTAAGCTTCGTTATTCTGGCCACCGATCAGGGCTGCAGGTTTAGATTTCAGTTGGAATGTAAAACTTAACCTCAAAGGACTCATATGTTAAGGCTCTTGGGCCCAAATACCCTATTATATAAGTCGCTTGGGCTATTGTGATGCTAAGGATTCAGTTGGGAGCTTCCGAAAATACGGGGTACCTTATTCTGGGGTCCTTATGAATAATGATCCCACTATTTAGGGTGCTATATTAGGGTCCCCTATTTTCGGAAACCCTCAGTTGGAGTCTACTTGGAGGATCATGGGACTTAATATCCCCCTAGTTGGGGTTATAAGTATAGTTACCTTAGTTATAACCCTACTTACTAAGTCCCATGATCCTTTAAGTAAGATTAAGTGTTTAAGGTCTAGTTGGGGTTCTATAAGAAACCCTAAACCCTAAACCCTAAACCCCTAAACCCCTAAACCCCTAAACCCCTAAACCCCTAAACCCCTAAACCCTAAACCCTAAGGGTTGGGGTTCTCTAAGGGGTTGGGGCTAACAGGTGCAGGTTGAGGGTTGGGGGATCTGTAAGGTTTTGGGGGTTTAGAGTTTAGGGATTTA